GCTGGTGTAGCCATGGTGGTGTAGCTGGTGTAGCCATGGTGGTGTAGCTGGTGTAGCCATGGTGGTGTAGCTGGTGTAGCCATGTTGGTGTAGCTGGTGTAGCCATGGTGGTGTAGCTGGTGTAGCCATGGTGGTGTAGCTGGTGTAGCCATGGTGGTGTAGCTGGTGTAGCCATGGTGGTGTAGCTGGTGTAGCCATGGTGGTGTAGCTGGTGTAGCCATGTTGGTGTAGCTGGTGTAGCCATGGTGGTGTAGCTGGTGTAGCCATGTTGGTGTAGCTGGTGTAGCCATGGTGGTGTAGCTGGTGTAGCCATGGTGGTGTAGCTGGTGTAGCCATGGTGGTGTAGCTGGTGTAGCCATGGTGGTGTAGCTGGTGTAGCCATGGTGGTGTAGCTGGTGTAGCCATGTTGGTGTAGCTGGTGTAGCCATGTTGGTGTAGCTGGTGTAGCCATGGTGGTGTAGCTGGTGTAGCCATGGTGGTGTAGCTGGTGTAGCCATGGTGGTGTAGCTGGTGTAGCCATGTTGGTGTAGCTGGTGTAGCCATGGTGGTGTAGCTGGTGTAGCCATGTTGGTGTAGCTGGTGTAGCCATGGTGGTGTAGCTGGTGTAGCCATGGTGGTGTAGCTGGTGTAGCCATGGTGGTGTAGCTGGTGTAGCCATGTTGGTGTAGCTGGTGTAGCCATGGTGGTGTAGCTGGTGTAGCCATGGTGGTGTAGCTGGTGTAGCCATGGTGGTGTAGCTGGTGTAGCCATGGTGGTGTAGCTGGTGTAGCCATGGTGGTGTAGCTGGTGTAGCCATGGTGGTGTAGCTGGTGTAGCCATGGTGGTGTAGCTGGTTTAGCCATGGTGGTGTAGCTGGTGTAGCCATGGTGGTGTAGCTGGTGTCGCCATGGTGGTGTAGCTGGTGTAGCCATGGTGGTGTAGCTGGTGTAGCCATGGTGGTGTAGCTGGTGTAGCCATGGTGGTGTAGCTGGTGTAGCCATTGTGGTGTAGCTGGTGTAGCCATGTTGGTGTAGCCATGGTGGTGTAGCCATGGTGGTGTAGCTGGTGTAGCCATGGTGGTGTAGCTGGTGTAGCCATGTTGGTGTAGCTGGTGTAGCCATGTTGGTGTAGCTGGTGTAGCCATGTTGGTGTAGCTGGTGTAGCCATGTTGGTGTAGCTGGTGTAGCCATGTTGGTGTAGCTGGTGTAGCCATGGTGGTGTAGCTGGTGTAGCCATGTTGGTGTAGCTGGTGTAGCCATGGTGGTGTAGCCATGGTGGTGTAGCCATGTTGGTGTAGCTGGTGTAGCCATGTTGGTGTAGCTGGTGTAGCCATGTTGGTGTAGCTGGTGTAGCCATGTTGGTGTAGCTGGTGTAGCCATGTTTGTGTAGCTGGTGTAGCCATGGTGGTGTAGCCATGTTGGTGTAGCTGGTGTAGCCATGTTGGTGTAGCTGGTGTAGCCATGTTGGTGTAGCCATGTTTGTGTAGCTGGTGTAGCCATGGTGGTGTAGCTGGTGTAGCCATGGTGGTGTAGCTGGTGTAGCCATGGTGGTGTAGCTGGTGTAGCCATGTTGGTGTAGCTGGTGTAGCCATGGTGGTGTAGCTGGTGTAGCCATGGTGGTGTAGCTGGTGTAGCCATGTTGGTGTAGCTGGTGTAGCCATGTTGGTGTAGCTGGTGTAGCCATGGTGGTGTAGCTGGTGTAACCATGTTGGTGTAGCTGGTGTAGCCATGGTGGTGTAGCCATGTTGGTGTAGCTGGTGTATCCATGTTGGTGTAGCTGGTGTAGCCATGGTGGTGTAGCCATGGTGGTGTAGCTGGTGTAGCCATGGTGGTGTAGCTGGTGTAGCCATGTTGGTGTAGCTGGTGTAGCCATGGTGGTGTAGCCATGGTGGTGTAGCTGGTGTAGCCATGTTGGTGTAGCTGGTGTAGCCTTGGTGGTGTAGCCATGGTGGTGTAGCTGGTGTAGCCATTGTGGTGTAGCTGGTGTAGCCATGTTGGTGTAGCTGGTGTAGCCATGGTGGTGTAGCCATGGTGGTGTAGCTGGTGTAGCCATGGTGGTGTAGCTGGTGTAGCCATGTTGGTGTAGCTGGTGTAGCCATGGTGGTGTAGCCATGGTGGTGTAGCCATGGTGGTGTAGCTGGTGTAGCCATGGTGGTGTAGCTGGTGTAGCCATGGTGGTGTAGCTGGTGTAGCCATGTTGGTGTAGCCATGGTGGTGTAGCCATGTTGGTGTAGCTGGTGTAGCCATGGTGGTGTAGCCATGTTGGTGTAGCTGGTGTAGCCATGTTGGTGTAGCTGGTGTAGCCATGGTGTTGTAGCCATGTTGGTGTAGCTGGTGTAGCCATGTTGGTGTAGCTGGTGTAGCTGGTGTAGCCATGTTGGTGTAGCTGGTGTAGCCATGTTGTGTAGCTGGTGTAGCCATGGTGGTGTAGCCATGTTGGTGTAGCTGGTGTAGCCATGTTGGTGTAGCTGGTGTAGCCATGTTGGTGTAGCCATGGTGGTGTAGCTATGTTGGTGTAGCCATGGTGGTGTAGCTATGTTGGTGTAGCTGGTGTAGCCATGTTGGTGTAGCCATGGTGGTGTAGCTGGTGTAGCCATGTTGGTGTAGCCATGGTGGTGTAGCTGGTGTAGCCATGGTGGTGTAGCTGGTGTAGCCATGTTGGTGTAGCCATGGTGGTGTAGCCATGTTGGTGTAGCCATGGTGGTGTAGCCATGTTGGTGTAGCCATGGTGGTGTAGCTGGTGTAGCCATGGTGGTGTAGCTGGTGTAGCCATGGTGGTGTAGCTGGTGTAGCCATGTTGGTGTAGCTGGTGTAGCCATGTTGGTGTAGCCATGGTGGTGTAGCTGGTGTAGCCATGGTGGTGTAGCTGGTGTAGCCATGTTGGTGTAGCCATGTTGGTGTAGCTGGTGTAGCCATGTTGGTGTAGCTGGTGTAGCTGGTGTAGCCATGTTGGTGTAGCTGGTGTAGCCATGTTGGTGTAGCCATGGTGGTGTAGCTGGTGTAGCCATGTTGGTGTAGCCATGTTGGTGTAGCTGGTGTAGCCATGTTGGTGTAGCCATGTTGGTGTAGCTGGTGTAGCCATGTTGGTGTAGCCATGTTGGTGTAGCTGGTGTAGCCATGTTGGTGTAGCCATGAGGCTCAAGACATCATTGTAAAGCACTATTTTCCCCCTTCCAAATTTCCCCATTAACATTACACGTGTCTGGGATGACTGGCAGGGCGTACTCCCCACGGGTCGGCGCACCATTAAACTAAACAATTGACTAACGCATGCCAGGCATTACTGCCCCCCCCTCCTCATGCCTCCCTACACCCCCACGACGCCCCCCTCCCCATGCCTCCCTACACCCCCACGACGCCCCCCTCCCCATGCCTCCCTACACCCCCACGACGCCCCCCTCCCCATGCCTCCCTACACCCCCACGACGCCCCCCTCCCCATGCCTCCCTACACCCCCACGACGCCCCCCTCCCCATGCCTCCCTTCACCCCCACGACGCCCCCCTCTACACAATGCCCCCCCAATATCCCCCCCAAAACCCCTCCTTCCCTCCTTCCCATATCATTTGAATGCCGCGGCGCGCCGAACAAAAGCAGGAATTTGGTGCTTATGTTGGACTCGTATGGTGATAGGGCCGGCTAGTACGCCCACGCCCACATGGGTTAGTGCCCCTTGTAGGTGGGGGTCAGAGAGGCCGCCCACGCCCACATGGGTTGAGTGCCCCTTGTATGTGGGGGTCAGAGAGGCCGCCCACGCCCACATGGGTTGAGTGCCCCTTGTAGGTGGGGGTCAGAGAGGCCGCCCACGCCCACATGGGTTGAGTGCCCCTTGTAGGTGGGGGTCAGAGAGGCCGCCCACGCCCACATGTGTTGAGTGCCCCTTGTAGGTGGGGGTCAGAGAGGCCGCCCACGCCCGCCCATGGTCTCAGGTATCCGTGGGAGAAGCGTCCAGCTGAGCTGGGAGCCATTATGTCTAGATTTGTCCAGGGGATGTCTTTCTTAACGTCCTGTTCACCTTCCTATCCTCCTACAATCTCCCCCCTACTCTCTATCCACAATCATGCTGGTATGGTGTTGTGGTGGCTGCCGCTTGTCAGTCCCCTGGTGTGTGTGTGTGTGTGTGTGTGTGTGTGTGTGTGTGTGTGTGTGTGTGTGTGTGTGTGTGTGTGTGTGTGTGTGTGTGTGTGTGTGTGTGTGTGTGTGTGTGTGTGTGTGTGTCTGTGTGTGTGTGTGTGTGTGTCTGTGTGTGTGTGTGTGTGTGTGTGTGTGTGTGTGTGTGTGTGTGTGTGTGTGTGTGTGTGTGTGTGTGTGTGTGTGTGTGTGCGCGCGCGTATGTATGTGTGTGTATAAGTGCGCCTGCGAGCGTTGGCTCTTAACCCTTAGACTGCTGATAACGCCAATACTCGTTCTCTACGCCAATGGCGCCAGTTACACGCGCAGTAGTGGTAGCTATATATTATAACCTAACCCCCCAAAAGATAGCCCATATCAAATTAATTTTAACTGCGTGACAGCATGTGCAACCCCCACCGGGTTTTCTTCCTATTGGGGAGTGGCGTACATGAAAATTTAAAATTTGTAATTGAGCAGTTTAAATTGTAATTCCTGTGGGTAGAGTAGGCCTTGAAAGATTGGGAGAGGGTGGGGGAGATAATCCCCCCTCTCCCCCCCCACCCCCCTCCTAGGCCTCCCCCACCCCCCCTCCAAGACCACCAAAGACGTTTGGGCGGGGAATAATCCGAATTTCTGCCCGGATTGATCTGTAATTTTTTCCGCTGTCCTGGAAAGAGAATTTATGAGGGATTACGCTGTTTGTGCGTGTGTGTGCGTGCGTGCGTGTGTGTGTACTCACCTAGTTGTGCTTGCTGTGAGGGGGTTGAGCTCTGGCTCTTTGGTCCCGCCTCTCAACTGTCAGTCAACTGGTGTACAGGTTCTTGAGCCTATTGGTGTTGTAGGTGTTGAGAGATGAGTAATACAGCTGTTAAAACAAAGATGTATAATACAACAAAATTACCCCCTACAGGTGTCTGTAACCACCAGCCTATTGATGGATGACGTGAGTAACGATGGCTTCTTGGTGGTTGATGTCGAGTCGCCAGTTGCGCCCCCTGCCCCAGGTAAGACCCCCCTAACCCCCCCAGCCCCAGGTAAGCCCCCCCTAACCCCCCCAGGCCCAGGTAAGCCCCCCTAACCCCCCAGCCCCAGGTAAGACCCCCCCTACCCCCCAGCCCCCCCTGGCCCCAGGTAAGACCCCCCTACCCCCCAGCCCCAGGTAAGACCCCCCTACCCCCCAGCCCCCCCTGGCCCCAGGTAAGACCCCCCAGCCCAGGTAAGACCCCCCCTACCCCCCAGCCCCCCTGGCCCTAGGTAAGACCCCCCACCCCCCAGCCCCAGGTAAGACCCCCCCCTACCCCCAGCTCCCCTGGCCCCAGGTAAGACCCCCCAACCCCCCAGCCCCAGGTAAGCCCCCCCCTTCCCCCCAGCCCCCTGGCCCCAGGTAAGACCCCTCAGCCCCAGGTAAGACCCCCCCTACCCCCCAGCCCCCCCTGGCCCCAGGTAAGACCCCCCAGCCCCAGGTAAGACCCCCCTACCCCCCAGCCCCCCTGGCCCCAGGTAAGACCCCCCCAACCCCGCAGCCCCAGGTAAGACCCCCCAGCCCCCCCTGGCCCCAGGTAAGACCCCCCCTACCCCCCAGCCCCAGGTAAGACCCCCCTACCCCCCCAGCCCCCCCTGGCCCCAGGTAAGCCCCCCCCCCTTCCCCCCAGCCCCCCTGGCCCCAGGTAAGACCCCTCAGCCCCAGGTAAGACCCCCCCTACCCCCCAGCCCCCCCTGGCCCCAAGTAAGACCCCCCCTACGTACCCCCAGCCCCAGGTAAGACCCCCCTACCCCCCCCCCCCCCCCTGGCCCCAGGTAAGCCCCCCCCCCTTCCCCCCAGCCCCCCTGGCCCCAGGTAAGACCCCTCAGCCCCAGGTAAGACCCCCCCCTACCCCCCAGCCCCCCTGGCCCCAGTAAGACCCCCAACCCCCCAGCCCCAGGTAAGACCCCCCCTACCCCCCAGCCCCCCCTGGCCCCAGGTAAGACCCCCAGCCCCAGGTAAGACCCCCCCAACCCCCCAGCCCCCCTGGCCCTAGGTAAGACCCCCCAACCCCCAGCCCCAGGTAAGACCCACCCCTACCCCCCAGCTCCCCTGGCCCCAGTAAGACCCCCCAACCCCCCAGCCCCAGGTAAGCCCCCCCCTTCCCCCCCCCCCCTGGCCCCATGTAAGACCCCTCAGCCCCAGGTAAGACCCCCCCTACCCCCAGCCCCCCCTGGCCCCAGGTAAGACCCCCAGCCCCAGTAAGACCCCCCTACCCCCCAGCCCCCCTGGCCCCAGGTAAGACCCCCCAACCCCGCAGCCCCAGGTAAGACCCCCCCAGCCCCCCCTGGCCCCAGGTAAGACCCCCCCTACCCCCCAGCCCCAGGTAAGACCCCCCTACCCCCCCAGCCCCCCCTGGCCCCAGTAAGCCCCCCCCCCTTCCCCCAGCCCCCCTGGCCCCAGGTAAGACCCCTCAGCCCCAGGTAAGACCCCCCCTACCCCCCAGCCCCCCCTGGCCCCAAGTAAGACCCCCCCTACGTACCCCCAGCCCCAGTAAGACCCCCCCTTACCCCCCACCCCCCCTGGCCCCAGTAAGACCCCCCAACCCCCCAGCCCCAGGTAAGACCCCCATTTCCTCCCCTATACCCCTCCTATGTGTAAATAGCCAAAGGGTCCTGACGGCTGAGTCGACAGCGGTCTGGATTCGTAATCCTGAGGTGTCCTGGGGTTCACCCCTGATGCTCCTGTTCACCCCCACACACCCACACACACACACACACCTGGGCTCTACAGGTGTGGCCAGACCAGTATTCATGAGACAATTACGAGGCTGAAGACGGTTCCAAACCTGTTTTGCATTTTAGTGCTACTGAGAGACTTGACGGGGAATGTTGAATGAGCAGATGTGGCCAGGTGTGTGACACATCTGGCTCCACACTCACCCTACACACCTGGTGCAGGGGGGGTGTGTACTGTGTGGCCAGGTGTGTGTGTGTGTGTGTGTCTGTGTGTGCTGCTGCCACACATCTGGCTCCACACTCACCCTACACACCTGGTGGCGGGTGTGTACTGTGTGGCCAGGTGTATGTGTGGGGGAGGGTGGGGGGAGGGGGGTTTGATATGTATATATCTGACTTAATGCTATATTAATGTTATATGTGTATGTGTGTGTTTTCCGGCATTTAAGTCAGGTATATACACAGTCACTGTTAAGTCAGGTATACACACTATTAAGTCAGATATACACAGTCACTTAAATTAGATATACACAGTCACTGTTAAGTCCTGTATATACAGTCACTGTTAAGTCAGATATACACAGTCACTGTTAAGGCAGGTGTATACACAGTCACTGTTAAGTCAGGTATACACACTATTAAGTCAGATATACACAGTCACTGTTAAGTCAGATATACACAGTCACTGTTAAGTCAGATATACACAGTCACTGTTAAGTCAGATATACACAGTCACTGTTAAGGCAGGTGTATACACAGTCACTGTTAAGTCAGGTATACACACTATTAAGTCAGATATACACAGTCACTGTTAAGTCAGATATACACAGTCACTGTTAAGTCAGATATACAGTCACTGTTAAGTCAGATATACACAGTCACTGTTAAGTCAGATATACACAGTCACTGTTAAGTCAGGTATACACACTATTAAGTCAGATATACACAGTCACTGTTAAGTCAGATATACACAGTCACTGTTAAGTCAGATATACACAGTCACTGTTAAGTCAGATATACACAGTTAGTCACTGTTAAGTCAGGTATATACACACACACATAGGGGCCGGTGGCTGAGCGGATAGCACGCTGTTCACGTGATCCTGGGTCCCGGGTTCGATCCCGGGCGAGAAACAAATGGGCTAAGTTTCTTTCACCCTGATGCCCCCTGTTCACCTAGCAGTAAATAGGTACCTGGGAGTTAGTCAGCTGTCACAGGCTGCTTCTTCCTAGGGGGGTGTGAAGGCCTGGTCGAGGACCGGGCCGCGGGGACACTGAGCCCCGAAATCAACTCAAGATAACACAGTCTTCTCGCTGACTGTGGCTTTGCCTGTGAAGGATTTCGCGGGTTTACCCGATGTATCTGGCTGAGTGGAATCAAGTTTCGCTTAGCGAGATGGAGTCCTCCTTCGGTCCTCTGTCCCGGTGATAGACTTTGTGAATGTTTATATGCTGATATATCCGCCCCCCCCCCGCCCCCCCACGCCCCCCCTGCCCCCCCACGCCCCCCCTGCCCCCCCACGCCCCCCCCCCACCCCCGCCCCCCCACGCCCCCCCCCCGCACGCCCCCCCCCCCCGCCCCCCTCCACGCCCCCCCCCCCGCCCCCCCGCACGCCCCCCCCCCCCCCACGCCCCCCCCCGCCCCCCACGCCCCCCTCCCTCTCTCTGGCTGTTATAGGAGGTCATCCCTTTGACTCAGCGGGTCTCTGCTCGATTACCCGTTATCCAATCACGTTAAAAGCTGGCCGGGGGATTGGGGGGGGGCGTGTTGCATGATTGGGATGCCTGTGGGGGGGTGCTGAAGAGGGGGTGACGCCCCCCCCCTCCCCCACCACCACCAGGGGGGGGAAGTCCTGGGAGTCTATCTACACTTTTAAAATATGTCAATTATCCCCGAAATCAGCTATTACTATAGTTGGGCTTGCTTGGGGGGTTGAGCTCTGGCTCTCTGGTCCCGCCTCGCAACTGTCAATCAACTGTCAAACAGTTGATTGACTGGCAGTCAATCAACTGTTACTAACTAATGTGTGATTTTTTTTCCACACACACACACCCGTAGCAGCTGTCTAACTCCCAGTTATACCTATTGACTGCTGGGTGAACAGGAGCATCAGGGTGAAAGAAAATCTGCCTATTTGTTTTTACGCCGGCTGCCGGGATCGAACCCCGGTCCCTGGGTTCACGAGTCTAGAGCGCTGTCCACTCAGCCACCGAGCCCTCTTGTGTGTGTGTGTGTGTGTGTACTCACCTAGTTGTGCTTGCGGGGGTTGAGCTGTGGCTCTTTGGTCCCGCCTCTCAACTGTCAATCAACAGGTGTACAGGTTCCTAAGCCTATTGGGCTCTATCATATCTACATTATAAACTGTGTATGGAGTCAGCCTCCACCACATCACTGCCCAATGTGTTCTGTTAACTACTCCCACACTGAACAAGTTCTTTCTAACGTCCCTGTGGCTCATGTGGGTACTCAGTCTCCACCTGTGTCCCCTTGTTCGCGTCCCACCAGTGTTGAATAGTTCATCCTTGTTTACCCTGTCAATTCCTCTGAGGATTTTGTAGGTTGTGATCATGTCCCCCCTTACTCTTCTGTCTTCCAGTGTCGTAAGGTGCATTTCCCGCAGCCTTTCCTCGTAACTCATGCCTCTTAGTTCTGGGACTAGTCTAGTGGCATACCTTCGGACTTTTTCCAGCTTCGTCTTGTGCTTGACAAGGTACGGGCTCCATGCTGGGGCCGCATACTCCAGGATTGGTCTTACATATGTGGTGTACAAGATTCTGAATGATTCCTTACACAGGTTCCTGAACGCTGTTCTGATGTTAGCCAGCCTCGCATATGCCGCTGATGTTATTCTCTTTATGTGGGCTTCAGGAGACAGGTTTGGTGTGATATCAACTCCTAGATCTTTCTCTCTGTCTGTTTCATTAAGTACTTCATCTCCTATTCTGTATCCTGTGCCTGGCCTCCTGTTTCCACTGCCTAGTTTCATTACTTTGCCTTTACTCGGGTTGAACTTCAACAGCCATTTGTTGGACCATTCATTCAGTCTGTCCAGGTCATCTTGTAGCCTCCTACTATCATCCTGTTTCAATCCTCATAATTTTTGCATCCTCGGCAAACATTGAGAGGAACGATTCTATACCCTCTGGGAGATCATTTACATATACCAGAAACAGTATAGGTCCAAGGACTGACCCCTGCGGTACTCCACTCGTAACGTCTCGCCAATCTGAGACCTCACCCCTCACACTGACTCGTTGTCTCCTGTTGCTTAGGTACTCCTGTATCCACCGGAGTACCTTCCCTTTCACTCCAGCCGTGTGTGTGTGTGTGTGCGCGTGCGTGCGTGCGTGCGTGCGTATGCGTGCGTGTGCGCGTGGTAACTGTATTTAAGTTACGTATTTTATACCGTTACGGCCGATGTACGACTATCTGAAATAGTATCGGGAATTTCTCCCTGGATCAATGCATATTGTTTGTCCTGTTATTACAAGACAAATACTTGAATTTTGTTGTGTTTTATAAAATATTTACATGGACTGCCGGCGGGCAGTGGGCAAAAATTGTCGTGGGGGTCTGAATGAGACCCCGCCACGCGGGTCTCTCTTGGATTATGGCGACACCTGAGGAGCCTATGTCCATCCCAGACCCCAGACCACTCCCCCCGGCCAATTTGAACAGCCGTTACACTTACCTAGTACTGTGTTATGTATACAAATGTGTGATGTAGTGAATATACGGTGTACTAAGCGTTCGCTTTTCCACAGTGGCAGCGAGTGGCGTACTGGGGGCAGTAGCGAGCACAACCGCTTCTACCACCACTACTACCAGCAGCACCAGCAGCAGCAGCACCAGCACCACGCCTCCCCCCACCACCACCGCCCCAACCACTACCACCACCCCCGTCAGAGGCCAGAGGAAGAGAGGCCGGCCTAAAGGTTCCAGCTTGCGGGGCCGGCTCTCTAGGACCACTGAAGCCGCAGCTGCGGCAGCTGCGGCGCTGGGCTCAATGCCGCAGTCTTCTGCTTGCTCAGGTGAGTCAGCTTGGCTGTGGTGGTTTCTTTCAGCCTGATGCCCCTGTTCACCTAGCAGGGAATTGGTGTACCTGTGAGTTAGTCAGCTGTCACGGACTGCTTCTTCCTGGGGGGGTGGAGGCCTGGTCGAGGGCCGGGCTGCGGGGGACGCTGAGCCCCGAAATCATATCAAGATAACCCCAAGATAACCCCAAGATAACCTCAAGATAACCCCAAGATAACCCCAAGATAGGGACAATTTGAAATGTAGTCTCAAAGAGGGAATCAAAACTGAGCCACACACAGAAACTATTTGGCTAGAATTAAAGAAAAAAGCTAAAAATCTAATTTTTTTTTCTAGAATTAATTGAGGATTGCTTTTTTAGCCAACACATTAAGGAACCAACGCGGGTAATATTTTAGATTTAAGCGTTAACTAACAGACAAACACAAATGATATTGAAATAGGGCAGTGAGAACATTGATCACAAGCAAATCAGATGTAGCGTAGAATGGAATAGATCTGTAGGAGAAAATAAAGTTAATGGGCCGGATTTTCAGTGTTCCAATGTGTCAAAAGCTTCGCTAAAACCATGTTGGGAAATATGTATTAATTTATGTTTTTCAAGATGAATGATTTATGTAATTATTGATTCATATGTTGTTATGTACTCACCTAGTTGTGCTTGCTGGGGTTGAGCTCTGGCTCTTTGGTCCCGCCTCGTATGTTGTTATGTACTCACCTAGTTGTGCTTGCTGGGGTTGAGCTCTGGCTCTTTGGTCCCGCCTCGTATGTTGTTATGTACTCACCTAGTTGTGCTTGCTGGGGTTGAGCTCTGGCTCTTTGGTCCCGCCTCGTATGTTGTTTATGTACTCACCTAGTTGTGCTTGCTGGGGTTGAGCTCTGGCTCTTTGGTCCCGCCTCGTATGTTGTTATGTACTCACCTAGTTGTGCTTGCTGGGGTTGAGCTCTGGCTCTTTGGTCCCGCCTCGTATGTTGTTATGTACTCACCTAGTTGTGCTTGCTGGGGTTGAGCTCTGGCTCTTTGGTCCCGCCTCGTATGTTGTTATGTACTCACCTAGTTGTGCTTGCTGGGGTTGAGCTCTGGCTCTTTGGTCCCGCCTCGTATGTTGTTATGTACTCACCTAGTTGTGCTTGCTGGGGTTGAGCTCTGGCTCTTTGGTCCCGCCTCGTATGTTGTTATGTACTCACCTAGTTGTGCTTGCTGGGGTTGAGCTCTGGCTCTTTGGTCCCGCCTCGTATGTTGTTATGTACTCACCTAGTTGTGCTTGCTGGGGTTGAGCTCTGCTCTTTGGTCCCGCCTCGTATGTTGTTATGTACTCACCTAGTTGTGCTTGCTGGGGTTGAGCTCTGGCTCTTTGGTCCCGCCTCGTATGTTTGTTATGTACTCACCTAGTTTGTGCTTGCTGGGGTTGAGCTCTGGCTCTTTGGTCCCGCCTCGTATGTTGTTATGTACTCACCTAGTTGTGCTTGCTGGGGTTGAGCTCTGGCTCTTTGGTCCCGCCTCGTATGTTGTTATGTACTCACCTAGTTGTGCTTGCTGGGGTTGAGCTCTGGCTCTTTGGTCCCGCCTCGTATGTTGTTATGTACTCACCTAGTTGTGCTTGCTGGGTTGAGCTCTGGCTCTTTGGTCCCGCCTCGTATGTTGTTATGTACTCACCTAGTTGTGCTTGCTGGGGTTGAGCTCTGGCTCTTTGGTCCCGCCTCGTATGTTGTTTATGTACTCACCTAGTTGTGCTTGCTGGGGTTGAGCTCTGGCTCTTTGGTCCCGCCTCGTATGTTGTTATGTACTCACCTAGTTGTGCTTGCTGGGGTTGAGCTCTGGCTCTTTGGTCCCGCCTCTCAACCGTCAATCAACAGGTGTACAGGTTCCTGAGCCTATTGGGCTCTATTATATCTACATTATAAACTGTGTATGGAGTCAGCCTCCACCACATCACTGCCCAATGTGTTCTGTTAACTACTCCCACACTGAACAAGTTCTTTCTAACGTCCCTGTGGCTCATGTGGGTACTCAGTCTCCACCTGTGTCCCCTTGTTCGCGTCCCACCAGTGTTGAATAGTTTATCCTTGTTTATCCCTATCAATTCCTCTGAGGATCTTGTATGTAGTGATCATGTCTCCCACCCTTAACTCTCGTGTCTACCAGACACCCAGGTGGTAGTATCCAGGTGACAGCACTGAGCCAGCACAGCACCTGGGTGACCATAGGTGTGTAGCGACTAATGATGTGACTGCCCAACCTGAAAGTTGCCGGTGAGTGGACTAGAGTGAGCTGTACCTCGCCTGGGTTCACCTGACGGGGGCCCAGGGGCCCCACCTGGTCAGGTGGGTGCAGTGGAGCACGTGCCACAGGTGGGCGACCCACCACTGGGACCCACCACTGGGGCCCACCACCGGGACCCACCACCGGAAAATCAGTGGTTCAGTCCGTTGATTAATTGGGTCATTGAGTGCTTCAGAGTATGGGCCGTCGGGGGTGTTGTGTGGGGTGTGTGGGGGTGTTCTGTCCCCCCAGCCCGTCCCCCAGCCAGCCCCCAGCCTGCCCCCCAGCCAGCCCCCAGCCTGCCCCCCAGCCAGCCCCCAGCCCGTCCCCCAGCCAGCCCCCAGCCTGCCCCCCAGCCCGTCCCCCAGCCAGCCCCCAGCCAGCCCCCAGCCTGTCCCTCAGCCTGCCCTCAGCCTTCCCCCCAGCCCGTCCCCCAGCCTGCCCCCCACCTGCCTCACCTGCCCTCACCCTCCCCTCAGCCTGCCCTCAGCCTTCCCCCCAGCCCGTCCCCCAGCCACCCCCAGCCTGCCCCCAGCCAGCCCAAAGCCTGCCCCCAGCCCTCCCCCAGCCCTCCCCCCAGCCCTCCCCCAGCCCACAGGTACCCTCATCAACATATACACAACTTCAACGCTAAAATACTTCTAACATTTGTCGCCCAAGAGAGAGACAAGATGGCGGCTTGAGGCGGCACCATACTAGCAATTAGTAGCTGCTGCTGCTGGAGGGTAGAGCGACGGTCTGGCTTCCTGCAGGTCCGAGTTCAATCCCCGACTGTCCACTAGTGGCTGGCCACCAGCTGTAGGGGTCTGGGGTTTCTGTTTTGCAATGCGTATTATCTGGAACTTTGGGGGCAGCTGTATGTATGATGTATTCTCCATGTTGAGGCTGTATACTGGTAGATGAGGCTATATGCTGGTAGATGAGGGCTATATACTGGTAGATGGGGTCTGTGCTGGTAGATGAGGCTATATGCTGGTAGATGAGGGCTGTATGCTGGTAGATTAGGGCTATATACTGGTAGATGGGGTCTGTGTGCTGGTAGATGAGGCTATATGCTGGTAGATGAGGGCTGTATGCTGGTAGATGAGGGCTATATACTGGTAGATGGGGTCTGTGTGCTGGTAGATGATGCTATATGCTGGTAGATGAGGGCTATATACTGGTAGATGGGGTCTGTGTGCTGGTATATGCTGGTAGATGGGGCTGTGTGCTGGTAGATGAGGGCTGTATACTGGTAAATGATGTCTGTGTGCTGGTAGATGAGGACTGTATACTGGTAGATGGGGTCTGTGTGCTGGTAGATGAGGGCTGTATACTGGTAGATGGGTCTGTGTGCTGGTAGATGATGGCTGTATACTGGTAGATGGGGTCTGTGTGCTGGTAGATGAGGTTATATGCTGGTAGATGAGGTCTATGTGCTGGTAGATGAGGCTATATGTTGGTAGATGAGGCTCTATGCTGGTAGATGAGGCTATATGCTGGTAGATCAGGGCTATATGCTGGTAGATCAGGGTTATATGCTGGTAGATGAGAGCTATATACTGGTAGATCGAGGCTATATGCTGGTAGATCAGGGCTATATGCTGGTAGATGAGAGCTATATACTGGTAGATCAGGGCTATATGCTGGTAGATTAGACCTGTGTGCTGGTAGATCAGGGCTGTATACTGGTAGATCAGGGCTATATGCTGGTAGATGGTGTCTGTGTGCTGGTAGATGAGGCTATATGCTGGTAGATGGGGTCTATGTGCTGGTAGATGAGGCTATATGCTTGTAGATGAGGCTATATGCTGGTAGATCAGGGCTATATGCTGGTAGATGAGGGCTATATGCTGGTAGATGAGGGCTATATGCTGGTAGATCAGGGCTGTATACTGGTAGATCAGGGCTATATGCTGGTAGATGGGGTCTGTGTGCTGGTAGATGATGCTATATGCTGGTAGATGGGGTCTATATGCTGGTAGATCAGGGCTATATGCTGGTAGATCAGGGCTATATGCTGGTAGATCAGGGCTGTATACTGGTAGATCAGGGCTGTATACTGGTAGATCAGGGCTATATGCTGGTAGATGGGGTCTGTGTGCTGGTAGATGAGGCTATATGCTGGTAGATGAGGCTATATGCTGGTAGATGAGGCTATATGCTGATAGATGGGGTCTGTGTGCTGTTAGATGAGGCTATATGCTGGTAGATCAGGACTATATGCTGGTAGATGAGGGCTATATGCTGGTAGATCAGAGCTATATGCCGGTAGATGAGGGCTATATGCTGGTAGATGAGGGCTATATGCTGGTAGATGAGGGCTATATGCTGGTAGATCAGGGCTGTATGCTGGTAGATGAGGGCTATATGCTGGTAGATGAGGGCTATATACTGGTAGACCAGGGCTATATACTGGTAGATCAGGGCTATATGCTGGTAGATGAGGGCTATATGCTGGTAGATCAGGGCTATATGCTGGTAGATTAGACCTGTGTGCTAGTAGATGAGCCCCTCCCCCATAGTGTTGAAGGGGGTCGGTCACTGGAAGGGAAGGGACAGAGAGACGGAACAGGATACAAGACAAAACTATATTGTCTCCCTCTTGTGGTGTAAATAATCCCTGTGTGTGTGTGTGGAACTGGTTGGGCACTGTCAGGTGGCCCAGACCTCTATAGTCTAGTGACCCACTGGGCTGTTGCTACCTACAACACCCCGAGGACCGGGCCGCGGGGACACTAAAGCCCCGAAATCATCTCAAGATAACTTCAAGATGAAGAGTGGCAAGCAAAGTTCTTCTACACAGACGTGATGTAATAGGGAGGGTGTAAGGGGGGGGTAGAGGAGGGGAGTTGTGGTAATGGGGCTGAATAGGATGAATGGGT